CTATCTCGTTCGCTTACCGAAAAGTACACCCAGATAGCTATCATTGAGAAAAGAAGTGTAAATGCTCCAGTATGGACACCTTCCAATCAAAGTCCAGCTTTCACAGCCGAACTGCTCAAGATGGCCTTTCTATTGACTCAGAGCCGGGCTTCAGCTCTAGTTTCCTCCTGACCTCGTTTACAGCTCGACAACGAACCAGCTTCTGAATTCTATCCCTGGAACATACGGTGGAACTGTGCTGCCGGCCAGTTCCTTCAAAGTTTATGGCATCCATCCAGGAAACCAAAATCCATTCGAGCGTATGGCCTACGCCACTACTGCTATTGAGCTGAACGATGTCCAAGACAGGGTTTTCGGCTTTTCGATTGGCTAAGCTCCACTTATTCAATCCTGGGAAAAAACCTTGGCTAACTTAGAATGTCTATCTCATGGTTTATGCAGTCAATGATGGGTACCATCTGTCAGCCTCAGTCAAACTGGTATTTTTCAACTGTACAAAATAGTAATCAGAACTCTTTCAGCTATGGTCTCAAAAGCAATCAGAACCGGTGCGTTGGAACGAGTGAAGCAAGCGTCTGAAGACGTTGAAGCTGTCGAACAACCTCAAAAGAAGCAACTACGAGTGGACCAACAGGGAGACCAGGTGAAAGCTACAGGCTTAATCCCTCCACCATTCCTACGAAAGGAACCGTATGTTAGCACCGCTTATCATAGCAATTCTGCATGTTGAATCAGTTGCATCACATGAATGTTCAGATATTCTTTGGCCGAATTTCCTCTATGAAATACAGAAATTTCTATGAAATACATAGTGCTTCTTCCATCTGGGAAAATATCTATCTTTTGGTTTATTCAGGGAATCTCAATAGGACCCAGCTATCATCAGTCGGGCGACCCTTCTCCTTCACAACCTTCAGCTTTGTTCCTAGTCGTCAACAATTTCAACTCAGTTTCCTTTTTTTTCAGATACAAGTTCACGTCGTGCCTTCCCAAAATGGGGACTC